TATTCAAAAACTGCCAAGATATAAATTTGAAATAAGAATACGACAATAGGTAATCAAATTTTAATTATCATATTGCATCAATTCTAATTATAATCTCCGTAATTGGCTAAATTTAATTTACCAAAAAAGAAATAAAATGCAAATAAACAGGTTGCCCCAAAATATTTGAAAATCTCAAGAACTGACGAGGGTCAACCCAGACCGAAATATATTTTCAATAAATGTGGAACTAACATCTACTTTTTTACTCTACAGAGGTTTGGTCCATCATTATCACCGAATTTTGAATAAATACTGTAAAAGTACAAAGGAGTTGAGTTTTTGTCACAAAGTCTGATTTTCTAATCTCTATATCTTTGTAACCCAATGTCGTAGACCTTAGATATTTCAAACTATTTACACTTATAGATAAAATAATCTAAGTTTGAAATATCAAAGGCTTGCACCATCTGGTTTAACAGATATTGGAATCAGAAGATTTGAGTTTGTGGCAAAAACTCAATTCCTTTAAATATTTCACAAAAAACTATTATGTTTTGTGAGTTGGTGTTTAATCTTATATTGTTAGGTTCGTACATAATACACCTGTAAAATAGTATAAAATTTGTTTATCTTAATATAAAACTGCAATACTTAAAGAACTTGTGAAATTTAGATACGCAAAAAAATTCTTAATTTCAATAAAAGTTAACTTTTGAAGACAAATTGTATTTGTATTGTAAAAAAACTTTTTGTTCATGCTGAGATTTTAAAGGGAGTGACCGGCTATGTTAGGTAGTCAAACTGAGTATGCAGTGTTGTGGAAAACTTCTTCCGGATTCATTTGAGACATATGAAACTTTTAAAAGATCTGTAAATCCTGAGTTTGATTTCTTCTTATCTATGATTTGATATACCAAGTTCTTTGTTTTTGTATTTAATATCATAATTCCTTCAAATAACTTGAAAAATGGGTACAAACGATAAAATAAATTAAGAAAATTATTGTACCAAATTGGGAACATTTTTTTCCTTCAAATCTCAGGAGGGGTATTGTAAGTACGGGGTTTGATTGATTAGATTGTGAAGTGCAAGGAAAGAATAAAAAGTAAGGAAAAAAATAAAATATATTAAAATAAAAAGTGCGATAACATTTTACATAAAAATTAGGTTGCAGTTGAAGTGTTTAAACGTTTAAAACTAGCATAATCTTTTATTCTGAGAAGATAAATTTATGTAAATGATTATTTAAAATCTCTCCCTGAAACACTGGTGTAAAATAAAATGCATATTATGCAGTAAACTGAATTTCAACCTCGCCTATAGTATATATCATTTAGCATACCAGATACATTAGCTCGGGCTTGTAGGGAGGTAAATATTTCCGTCAGAGGCAAACGAAAGTCTTTGGAGGGATCTAGGTTGGAAGGATTAGAATATCTAGGTTGGAAGGATTAGAATATCTAGCTTGGAAGGATTAGAATATCTAGGTTGGGAGGATTAGAATATCTAGATTGAAAGGATTAGAATATCTAGGTTGGAAGGATTAGAATATCTAGGTTCAGGTATTAAAATATCTAGGTTGAGGGGATTATAATCTCTAGATTTAAAGATTTTTAAAAATTTGAGTATTTTCTTTTTTTACATGTGCTTAAAAGATACTACATTACAATGTACAATTTACATCAATTGATATTTACTGTTTCAAAGCGGGGGGNATATTACATTATCCTTGCAAATAATAGTATTTACCACATGATTTTTTATCAATAAAAGGTTTAATCCTGGGCGGGTTCAGCACCTTAAAGTGCGTCGAAATATCTAAATGCATTTTTAAAGATCAACCTACTTAGTTTGACCAAGAGTGTGCATTAATTCTAAAAGGCAAGAACAAAATCCACGAAATTATTATTCTAGGAATTTGCTATTTCCTTGTTGAGAAACATCTAATTTAAGAGACGAAAAAGTTAAATTTGCGACAACAGCAATTACTCTAAAATAAATATTTCGTAACCTTTCTACAGGTTTTCTATCAATTCATCATTATATCAAAACAATCAAGCATAATTTTTTTTTTCTTACAGATTTTTTTCTAATTTTTACATATTATGCATTCAAAATGAAATCTGAATATGGGGAGTGTCTTCAGTGAACAATCGGGTGGGTAGGTTGGGGGGGAGGGAAGGGGGGTACATTTAGTTTCAATCACCTAATCTGCCCATATTTGACAGATAAATGTGCACAGTGTAACTGTAATAATATAGGTTATACACTCTGAACTTGGACTGTAGTTGGGTTCGGTATAAATGTAGATTTGTATCTAACTACCACCACTGAACTCAAATTTAGATATGGAAAAGGTTAATTTTATGCCAAATTACTGGTACAACTTTGTGATCTCGTAGCAACACTAGTTTTAATTGTACAATGATACGCGCAATTGCATGAGAAAAACAAAGGAATTGAGTCTTCACCAAAAACTCTGATTTTCTTATCCCTATATCTGTGCAAACTATAGTCTTAGACCTTACATATTTTTAACTATGAATTCTTTTTGATCAAATAGTCTAAGTTTGAAATATCAAAGGTTTACACCATCCGATTGCAAAAATACAGGGTTTTAGGTAATTTAAGTTTTTTGCAAAGACTTAATTCCCTTTTCGAGATTTTTGCGGTTATTCCGAAATGCTTTTCAAAAAGGAGAAATTATGATTGAAAACTTTTAAGATTTCAATCGAACGTATGTAATGAGTTTACCAGAGCTTAAAACTTATCAATATTTATTCTTTCTTTAAGATCTTGCATGTACATTGTACATTGTACACGTGATGACAAAAATATTATTAATTGCTGAATTGATCATTTTTGAAAGATCGAAAGATTATTGGATCGGCTCGAAAGATCGGTTTGTTAGCGATGTATTTACTTAAAGGACTTTTAGTAAATATTAAATATTTCAGGATTGGTTATAATGTGAATATCTACATTAATAGATTTGATAAATAAACAAAAAGAGAAGTGTTTACATTTTAGCCCAATACAGAATACTCAGAGTACAGGATATAGAATACAGAATACAGAGTACAGAATACAGAATACGTAGAGTACAGAATACAGAATACAGAATACAGAATAAATCTATAAATGAATTGTCAAGATAACTGTAAAATACAAATCAAATTGATCTCATTTAAATTATATCTTTTTAAAGAACCTTGACAAAAAATTATTATTTTATTTTACTAAAAATTTGGTAAAGAGCAAACATGTTGCAATTAGGTATTCGGGTATCATGATCCCCAGTGCTGTATTAGGTATTCGGGTATCATGATCCCCAGTGCTGTATTAGGTATTCGGGTATCATGATCCCCAGTGCTGTATGAATGAAGATAGAGATGAGGAATTATTCCTTAATTTTTTAAATTCCCACATTGGATATCGATACATAGCGTGCACGATGAAGGATTCATTCGAACCCCATAAAAAATATTTGCTGTAGAAGTTTATGGTACAGCACTGCCAGTGCCTCACCCCCCTCCTAAATCAACATATATTAACAATTTTTGACAAAAAAATGACCAAAAATAATTTAAGAATAATATAAAACTAATACTCATTGAACGCATTTATCACCCCCCTCTTATAAAACCTTCTGGTTCGCTGAATCTGGTCAGTTATGTATTGACCCCTCATAGATCGCATTCTTTGCAAATATTTTGTCCTGAATCCTAAATCCAGGCTAAAAGTTAAGTTATAGGATTGAAACTGCTTCTTAGTTTATAGGGTGTAACTACGTAAAAAATCGCCAATGGAATATCGGAAAATTATAAATTCGGCATATAAAATCAAACAGTAACTTTACCATTCAAACTAATACTTGTATTTATAAATTGAGCAAAAAATGCTAAGGAAAGGTTATAAAATGATTTTATTGCATCTAATAATATCTTTTACAGCAGTTTTTACTTTTAGGCAATACTCTTTCTGTTAAGATGATTGGATCAAAGGAATTGAGTCTTTGCCACTAACTCAAATATTTTAATCCCTATATCTTTGTAATCTGATAGTGTACATGATCTGACAGAATTCGTACTTTGAAATGTCGAAGGTCTACACCATTTGGTTGCAAAGATATAAAGATTAGAAAATTACACTTTATGGCTAAGAATCTCATTTCCTTTCAGTGGCAAAAGTTATCAGCAAAATTATTTATAATGTATTAACGGTTGTTTCCCTTCCTTCTTGTCTATCTTCTTTCACTAATCCCCCACCCTTCCCCCTCCAACCTTCCCCCTTCCCTCCTTTTCTACTTACTATCCTTATTTTTTATGGTTATTGTTTTGTTTTATGTAAAATGTACATGTTGTTGTTCCACACATGTTGGTAGTTATTAAATACATCACTTAATCACTTAAAACTATCACGTGTGGCGAAAAACTGGTCACTCACTCGTCACTTCTGTAAGTTAGGATGATCAGTATAGATGATGCTGGTTTATCTAAGCGTGGTTGCTAGGCTCAGGAAACAGGTGTGCACGAGTGGAGATGTTAACTGCAGTAGAATCTAAACTCAACTGAGAGAATTCATCTCCTTATAGTTTATAGCACAATAGTTAGCAGTAGAATATCACATTAGAATCCCTGGGTAGGGGGTGAGGACAACATATTAGAATTTAAGGGTGTACTCTGCAACGAACTACCTACAGGTTTTATTGAAAACATTCTTGTATGTATGTATGCCAGTTTAGGTTGAATTTAGATTATTTTTCAATACTAAATAAATAGGAAACTAAGGATAGAGATAAATAGGGAATTAACAATATATTTATAGAAGGAACGAAGAATAGAGTTATATAGGATACTAAGAATATATTTATGTAGGGAACTAAGAATAGAGTAATATAAGGATCTAAGAATATATTTATGTAGGGAACTAAGAATAGAATTATATAAGCTATACCCTTTCTCCGTATATAAGGAACTAAAAATATATTTATGTAGGCAACTAAGAATAGAGTTATATAAGGATCTAAGAATATATTTATGTAGGGAACTAAGAATAGAGTTATATAAGGAACTAAGAATAAAGTTTACTTGCATGAGGCAATCTTAAACACATTTTCTATTTCATCCAATTCTCTAGATTTTCTTTGTCATGGGCGTCGTCGTCGTCTAGGTCATCTAGGGCACTCAGAACCAGAAGACAGGATAGAGCATATAATAAACAGGAGTATCCTCGAACATATCTAAATATGAAACAATCAATAAGTACTCTAGTGTTTTGTAATATCTATATACAGGGGATTTACAGAGGGGGAGGTAAAGTGTCGCCCTCCCCCCGCCAGAAAAATGCCATATAAAACCCCGGTGTGGTTCTAGTGTCTAGAGTGTTAAGTGTTAACCTTGAGAAGGCCGGGGGGTGATAAGGGTTCCTTTTAATTTGCTTTAATTTAATTGAAAACGCGCTGTAAGTCCCTTTAAGTTTGATTTGACCTGCCAGATGGAGAGAGTTTAGAGGTATATGAGAGCAGGAATTTACTTCCTCAAGAGTATCCTGATACAAGAGCAGGTCATACAGAGACCAGGCTAATGGAAAGCACAGGATAGACACGAATCCGATAAACTTCAGCAAATCATTAGAAAAAATAGTTTATTAGATATTGATCAGTTAATTAAGTTTTGTCCGCCTTTAAAAATAAACATGATTGAAAAAGAAAATAATTCCTTTACTTCTTATCTTTATGAGATAAACTCAAAAACTTCAAGTGGACTGAAAGCTATAGTAATAACCAGAAAACTGTAAAATATGAAGACGAGTTTATAGCAATACTTAGATGTATTTAATGTTGTTACAAAGCATATAGTTTTACTGGACACTAATTAAACCACTATTTAAGATAAATGGGTCTTGTCGCAACAAAAAATTGCTCATTGGACTATTTAAAGCAAAAAATTTAGTCTAAAAGTCGTCTTTCTATTCCGAAGTTTTCTGGTTATCACTGTAATTTATTAGCCCAGAACTGTGCAGGTTTTAAGATTTAAAAAAAGTTGAAAGCGGGATTGAATTAAAATTAAAGAAACATCTAATCATGGTTAGTCAGGGTGCCTAGAAACATATTTTATATAAAACTATACCCTGGCAAGCATCCAAGGAAGAAGAAATCGATACATTGTAGGAAATGTGATAGTCCATAAACAACACAATATGTCGCTCTAGCTCCTGAAAAAAAGTATCTTTAAGTTTTAGTTGACTGCATGCTTAAAAAATAATAACTTAATGTTTCTTTTAATATCAATCCTCCTAGCTCCTATATATTTTATTCATTTTTCTTATTTCTGTATTTTTCAGATTTTCTACCTTCCCCCCCCCCCCCAAAAAAAAAGTTAATGCAAAAAAGCATTGAAGAATTGTTACAACGAATAAATATTTCTAAAATGTTTAAAAATGTTAAAATGTTTCTTTTTTAACTGTTTATTCAGACTCTTAATTCAGATATATAGATATATTAAAATATTCCCAAACAGATATATAAATATATTATAATATTCCCAAACAGATATATGAATATATTATAATATTCCCAAACAGAACATACATCCTCAGCTTTAGCTAGTCTCGTGTGTCAACACTCAACATTCAATATTTTATTTTATGAAAGATATACTGTATTCAAAGAGAATAGAATATATATTAGAGAGGAATTTACTAGAAAAAAGTGTAAAACGGCAATTTTGTTGTACTGTTTCCATACTGCAGGTGTACTTCTGTACTTCACATATTTGCGCTATATAACCTTTTGGGCACTGGAACATCATTTTACAGAAAATCTAAAATTGATATTAAAAGAAAACCAAATTATGAAATAGGCTGGCTTCATAATTGACCAATTATCATTTCACATAGACTCTATGCCTTTCCCTTTACAAACGATGATTTTCCGTTATAACTATAAATCAATTGATGTTTTTATTCACCTTATTCATTTTATAAAGTATATTTAACAGCTTTAAAAAATTCGAAATTGAAATGGATAGTCTAGGAAACATATTGTATTAATGTGCTCTACTGCATATAATTTGTGAACATTTACATGATTTCTACACTTTAAACTCCCTTTCAGGCTGAAAGAGACTGAAAAAATTCATACCGAGAGATTGTCTAAATTCCACTCTAATATATATTCTATTCTCTTTGACTGTATTTTAGCAAGATTTTTGCGTTAGATCTACGGCAGCAAAAATTAAAAGTTGAAAGAGTCAAAAAAAAATTACACTTGTAAAAAATTGTACAAATTGTAAAAATTGTATTTAACAAATATCTACAGTCATAGAGAATAAATTATTTATATATATTCTCCGTTCTGTGTCTAGAGTACAGTACTATCGTACATTACATTACACTATAAAGTTATAATAGAGAATAGCATATATAGAGAGGAATTAAAAGAATCTCTCGGTATGAATTTTTTCAGTCCCTTTAAGCCTGAAAGGGAGTTCAAAGTGTGCAAATCATGTAAATGTTCACAAATTATATCCAGTAGAGTACATTAATACAGTATGTTCCCTAGACTATTCATTTCAATTTCGAAATTTTTAAAGCTGTTAAATAAACTTTATAATGAATTAGGTGAATAAAAACATCATTTGATTTATAGTTATAACGGAAAATCATCGTTTGTACAGTGGAAGGCATAGTCTATGTGAAATGATCATTGGTCAATTATGAAACCAGCCTATTTCATAATTTGGTTTTCTTTTAACAATAATTTTCGATTTTCTATAAAATGATATTACAGGGCCCAACAGGTTATATAGCATAAATATGTGAAGTACACCTGCAGTATGGAAACAGTACAACAAAATGGCCGTTTTACACTTTTTTCTAGTAAATTCCTCTCTATATATTCTATTCTCTATGTCTAAAATAATTTGTTTTAAAGGGAGTGTTCGCGAAAAATGAAAGGGGGTATAGGCTTAATGCGAAAAAAAAGCGCTTTTGATCGCTACTAATCTCACTTCTATCTGTTGCGTCTATAAGGAGAAAATTGTTAAAGACGTCTCATACCGAAGAATAACTTAGCGCCCATACAAATTCAGAAAATTGCAACATACAACTTATACCGTAAAAAAATCAATTTAATTTCAAACAAATCATTCAGATATTACAACCTATAGTCATCGATTATCTTTCGCCACATTTCTATATAGTTTATATTTTATAATATTTTATTTTTTTTAGAAAACGTTTCACGGATTTCGAAAAATGTGAGTGGTACGCGGCATTCTTAAATAGTTGCGCAAGTATATCGACCTTATTAAAGTCTGGTGCTTTCCCTTCAGAAAGTATATGAAAAGGTCTTTTATTGAAAGCATTTTTTCGAACTATCTTGATCAATTATAAATGCTCTGTATCGAAGCTTCCCAGAAGTATATATATATATAAAAATTCTTTTAGTGAAAATGTACTTTTTTGTATACCTATGATCTCTTTTTGATCCGCGCCTATTACTGAATTTACTTTACTGAATTAACTTAAGTGAATTTATTTTACTGAATTTACTTTACTTTAAAATAAAACATCAAAAAATGTGTCATTTACCAAATATTTGCGATTTTTTCATAAATAAATTATGCCCTATGTAAACCTATTAAAATCAGAATGTACATGTTTTTGATATATATATATAAAGTTTATTTTATTGATTGTGTACTTTTTGAACAGTAATTCTTGAGAACAGTAATTAATTTATACTAAAATTATCACTATCATTGATAATTTTGTCGGACACAAAAACTGAATTGACGCTTGTGACGTCACAATACAACTGTACTGAGATTGTAAAATTCTACGTTGCCATCTATTCTAATAGAATCTATTTGAATTTAAGGAATTCAAGATAACCTAATTTTAATTATCCCTCCCCTTTTAGTTCACAATGCCACACACTTACACTATAAAAAGATGAAAAGAGTGTTTTATTAATATATTCATAAGTATAAAATGTTATTATTTTATAGCTATATATATATATATATATATATATAAAGCTAAACAGATTAAATAAAGGGCGTTATACAGAGCATCCCATATCATATTAGATTATCTTTTATTATGTTTTAACGACAACAAAACCTTTTTTTGAACATTTTGCTTTATATTTATAACATATAATTTACTTTTGCCTATATAAATTAATAGCTCCCTTTATTTAAGCTTAATAAACCCTTACATTTAAAGCTGAATAATCCAATTTATTTACCTTTATTTACCTGGAAAACCCCTTTATTTACTTTTATATACCTGAAACCCCCTTTATTTACCTATATAAACCTGAAAACCCCCTTTATTTACCTTTATAAACCTGAAAACCCTCTTTATTTACCTTTATAAAGCTGAAAACTCCCTTACATTACCTTTACATACATGAAACCCCCTTTATTTACCATTATAAAACTGAAAACCCCCTATATTTACCTAAATAAACCTGAAAACCCCCTTTATTTACCTTTATAAACCTGAAAACTCTCTTTATTTACATTTATAAACCTGAAAACCCCCTTTATTTACATTTATAAACCTAAACAAACCTTCTTTATTTACATTCATAAACCTGAAAACCCCATTTATTTACATTTATAAACCTTAAAACCCTCTTTATTTACATTTATAAACTTGAAAACCTCTTTATTTACATTCATAAACCTGAAAACCCCCTTTATTTACAATCATAAACCTGGAACCCCCCTTTATTTACATTTATAAACCTGAAAACCTTCTTTATTTACATTCATAAACCTGAAAATCCCCTTTATTTACCTTTATAAACCTGAAAAACCCCCTTTATTTACACTTATAAACCTGAAAACCCTCTTTATTTACATTTATAAAGCTAAACAAACCTTCTTTATTTACATTCATAATCCTGAAAATCCCCTTTATTTACCTATATAAACCTGAAAACCCTCTTTATTTATCTTTATAAACCTGAAAACCCCCTTTATTTACCTTTATAAACCTGAAAACCCCCTTTATTTACATTTATAAACCTGAAAACCCCCTTTATTTACCTATATAAACCTGAAAACCCTCTTTATTTACCTTTATAAACCTGAAAACCCCCTTTATTTACCTTTCTAAACCTGAACCCCCCCTTTATTTACCTTTATAAACCTGAAAACCCTCTTTATTTACATTTATAAACCTGAAAACCCCCTTTATTTACATTTATAAACCTGAACATCCCCCTTTATTTACGTCATGGTGTGATGAATTTCTCTGCTTAAATCTGTAAAGAATGATGAAGCATGATTTGAATATTATTTGCCAAGCTTAAACTCCTTAAACACATCCTGTCATCATTTCAGGCAGATTTACAAGCAGTATGGAAAGGGTCAAGTGTTTTAAAGGGAATGTTTGCAAAATACGATTAAGGTTGTATAAACCATTGTAGACTATAAATCTCATCTTGAAACATGCACAAAAATGCATTTTTATGTTAGAATTTAAAAATGTTAAATGATTTTTCAAGAGAATTGTTATGCAAGAAATGTAATGCAAACATTTTGGCAAATACAATGTTTCAAAATTTCTGTCATTTTGGAGTAAATTGATGTTTTCATTTGATGGATACAGATGAAAGTATGATGATGGTGTGAATTTGTGTAGAAGAATATTGGATTGGATTGGATATAAAATAATTGATATCTATGAATGGATTTAAGAAATTTGTGAAATTAGTTGGATAGATATGTAGGAACTATGTGCATGCAAAATTATAGCCATCTTCTTATCATTTTGGATTCAGACTTTGAATATGCCTTAAAAATACGTATTTTTACATATAAGTAAAACCTAAAAATTCCAAAAATTAAGAAATGTTAGGATTTTTTTCAAACCTAAATAGTAAATCTACGTTTAAGAAAACCCTAAAAATTCCTGATTCATTGGATTTTTTAGATTTTTTACATACACATTTTTACGTTTGTCGTATACGTATTTTTACCAAGCAAATGGTTACTCAAGTATGTCATATGTATGGAATATTTCGTACAGAGCGTCCCATATCATATTAGATTATCTCCAATCTTTAACACCAAAATAAACCCTTAATACTCGAAAAACTTATCATTTTCCGCAAGAAAATTCTTATATAATACTTATGTTGTTTTTCAAAATGATTCATTCTAATGAAATTTTCTAATTTGCCCCGAAAATCGTAATTTAGACCCGTTCTCGGACTAATATGATGTGGGATACCCTGTGTATAAAGGAATGTCATACGTATTTATAGGTTTTCCGGTTAGTAGGGTAGTTGGATCAGAGTCAGAGTATGATCTATATCTAAAATTACCGAGAATTTAATAATCTTTGATTTTCAAACCCGATTTGTTGCTTGGGCTTGTATCCACCGATAGAATTGTTGAAAACATTTATGTACAAATTCTGAGGGAGTCACAGAAAGAAATCAAATCGGAATGGAATCTAGAGATATGTTCTTGTCACGGTTTATTTAGAATTATTTGGTTATTTACACTTTCAAGCCAAGAATTCTTAAAATAGTCATTTATTTATTCACATTATACCAGTCAATTCTGGAAGAGTGTTCAGATTGTAAGGGACCGGACACGAATTAAATATCTAGAGTCCGCAACATTTTGACTTTCTGGATCCCTCCATTAAAAGTTGCGTGGGTCTGGTTCAGTAAGCTACCCTTCAAACCTTTTCCGAAAAAATTAACGAAAATTGTTTCTTTGAGGATAGAAAAAAAAACTTATTTCCAACATTATTACTCAGATATAGGTGTAAATGGTACCCATGTAAATCTTTTCTTGAGGGTAGATTGAAATTTGTTCGGGCAGTTCATTTATTTAGAAGTTAGAACTAATATAATCCATTTGGATGGTTACGTTTTGTGAATCGATTTTTCTTAAATCATGAAATACCGACGGTAAAAAATGTAAAAATTCGATGTTTAGGAAAATATTTCTTGATTGAAATTTTCTCAATAAATCAATGTTAGAACCTATTAATTCTTTTTCATCATTATTGAACTTCTTCAAATTCTTAAAATGTCGTCTTTTCGAAAAAAAATTTCAGTAAATCTACCGAAAATATTTGTAGAAACCATTAACTAAATAAGATTACTTATTTTCGATGATGATAGTTTATTTCCTCAACCTATTCCTAAACAACTGTTTACTAAAGAATTTTTAATACATTTTTTGCATTTCTACACTTCTTGAATTGACGGAGGGCGGAGCTGATTTAATCTGAGCTGAAAACTTTAGAATGTGAATATCCTTAATCTTGCTCTCTTAATTAATCTGAAGAATAAAAATGAGAGAAGAACAAGCCATATTTAATCTGGATATTAAGAAAAAGAGTGGATTAAGCCTTAATCCCGATATCCACCATTCTAAAGTTTTCAGCTCAGTTCAAATAACTAACTATTCCATCACCTATTATAAGATCTACGGATCTTTTCTTAAATCTTGATGTTCAGGTTGAATCCAGAAATCGTGATCTAAAGAAGCACATGAAGATCTTCTCATCTAACTCTACACTTGTTCGTCTTATATACATATATAAATATTTAATCAAGGTTTTACCTGAGATTTTATTTTTGATCAACTATAGTTTTATACTAAATGTACATGGTCTATTTATAATCCTGAGCCTATAAGTTTATATCCTTAAGCCTAAACCGCTTTTTTATACTGCTGATATTTAATTTGGGAACTCTGATCTTAAAATATATTTAATGGGCTATATATTTCAGACCATAATGGGCTAGAATAACTGCGTTATCCTGCCTTAGTACTCCAGGTTGTGCAATACTAGGTTTATAAAACATCTTTTTAAATGTAAATGTAACACTGCCTAACACCTTTTTTGAATTTAAGCTCATTAAAACTTATGGATGTTATATAAAGTGAATCCAGATCGTTCTTGTATTTCATCGCCTGTCCTGAACTATGAACTAATGAATTAACAGGTGAAAATACATTCCTAGAGAATTCTGAACTTTTGAAGCTTATCCGAGACTAGTTACTCCTTTATCTCGTAGACCAAGTCCTCCTCTGATCTACCCACGCCGTACTCCTGGACAAGGATGATCTCTTCAATCTAAAGAGAGTCTGATAGAGCAGATTCAAACCGCCTGCAGAGTGTCTCCCTGCTGGGCACCATCGTCTTCACCTTCTACATTGAGAAGTCCTGTCGGAAGCGTCTTCCTTGCTTCTCTAAACCAGGACTGCTGCTATTAAGCAGATAAAGGTGAAGATTAAATATGAAGCTGCTCACAAGATGAGATCTAATGTCTAACTTAATCTTATTTAGATCTCATCATTGTCCTCAAGATTGAGATCTGATGTTTAACTCAACCTTATTCGGATCCAATCATCATCTATCCGTACCTCCTCTCGGAGAAGTATACGTTCCTCCTCTCGGAGCAGTATCCGTTCCTCCTCTCGGAGAAGTATCCGTACCTCCTCTCGGAGAAGTCCCGTCGGAAGCATCTGTGTTTCTCTAAACCGGGACTGCTGCTTTCGAGCAGATAAAGGTGTATGATCAAGTTTCGTGTGATCTTTGTGAACAATTAAAGACGAAAGTGTGACTTTCTCCTCTAACACATGATAAGCCTTTATATAAACTCTCCTTATTATTTCTAGTTATGTATAAGAGACAGCTGGTAACAATCATCCAACTTTAGAGCTATTAAATTCTCCGGCCTAATCAACTTTGTAAGTGTTACTTTGATTTATATATATTTGTCGCAACTTATTCACATTTAGCACATTGTAAGTGTTATTTCAATTCATAATTGTTGTTACAATTTAATCACAGCACACCTGGAGCAAATTTTAATGTAAACTTGGCTAATTTTATTTATTTGAATAACTATAATACTAATTTATTATTTATTTTAACCCGTGACTGATGTATTGTTTTTCAGTTCACGGGTCCTAGCTCTGTATCGCTGTACCAGAAATAAAGAATATAAGAGATTCATGTGTATTAAAGAGGTGCGCAATGGAGAATTGATGTTGCCCCATCATGTTAATAGCTAAACAATTCCTGTGGATCTAGGTATTGTTTCTAGGGAAAATGCTAAAATTCCCAAAACGGGCACACCTATAACTGTTGATGAGTAATTAAACTTAGTTAATTATAAATTAACTAAATTAATTAATTAAAAATTTAAAACTGCAGAAAATTCATGAGTTTACAAATATTTCACTTTAAATTTTTGTGTCAAAAAGATGAATCAAAGTTTGAAAAAATAACATTTATTTACAATTAAAATTATTTACATAAAACATAACGATAAGAAAATTTTACATAAATAAATAAATAAAAATTTAAAAGTCAGTCGTCCGTCCGTCCGTAGAAATTATAGAAGATTTATAAAATTTAGAATCAAATTGTCTTGAATTTAAAATAACTAAAATATAAAATTTAATTACACATCAGATCATCTTAAATGTATATTTTTTTTACTTCCTTTCTTGTGAAAAAACTAGTCGATTAAGATTTAAAATGTCCCGAAAAAACCGGAAAATTTGTAGTTTAATTCAAATTGAAATCAATCACATGTATGGTGCTAAAGTCTCAAAATGTGTACAATATACAACAATATATATAAAAACATTCAAAGAAACAGTTCTAGAGCCATTTTATTTGAATTATCTGCCGATTTTGATGAGATAAATAATTACATAAATTGGTACGGTTGGCTAGTTGGCATACATATAATGAACTGCCATTCTTACTTCAAACACACCAAATCAAATTTCTCAAAATTGCTCAAATCATAAAACAAATATGTGGGCTTAGCCTTAGCAGCAAAATCATTGCTTCGTCATAAGTGACCGTGACCCTCCATATATAAATGTGACATGTCCAATTCACAATGGTACCCATAAAAGCTTTATATGATGATCTTTTTCAAATTGATTATTTTTTATTTTGGTTTCTTAAAAATGAAATGGACATTTCTTCTTCAAGAAACCATGGAAGAAAAGAAAATTTGTACAAGATATCTTCCACGTTATCACGCAGACAATCATTAAAACAGTTTATTAAAATATCAATTACTTTATCTATTTGATCAGTCAACATTTTCTGATTTAACGAGAATTGATTTTATTTCAATCATATAGAGAAAGCAGGACCGAGCAATGTAGACGTTATGTCTAATTACTTAAGTAGAATGTAGTGTCATTTTTTATATGGTTAAGAGCTAAGCGTAAAATTATCACATCAGAGCCCGCGATTTAAAAACTTCAAGAAAATACGATACAGGTCTAAGCTGTTGTTAGGCCTTATTTACGGATCGGGCTTTCGGACTAAAGTTGCATCAAATTTTCCACAGATTTTAGTTCATAAAACCGGTTTAATATTGTATTTGGCGGATTTTCAAAGTTGGAATTGGCGCATTCCGGGTTGTGATGAGAATATGACTCAACATTGAGCCTTATTCTCCACTAAAACCAACCAAGGACGGTTTTATTTTCATGGGCCTAACTCCGTAAGTCGAGCCTGAGACTCGAGCCAAAGCTTGTAAATCGCGGGCTCAGATAAAAAGTCAAACGTAAACTTGTGCAATAGAATTGAACCCAACTCTATTTGTGCTTATTCAACTTGTGCGTGTTTAAATTACCCTTCTGTGTAGCCTCATAGCTGCACTGGTCACAAGGATATCGAATACCAACATGTTTGGCCTCGTTGTGTCTTTTTAGAAAATCTTTTCTTGTTGTCGTATAATCACAGACGTCACAGGTATATATTACATCAGTGTGTTTTCGCAGTTTATGATTGCCTAGCGCAATTTTACTATTTGCAAAATAATCGCACTGATCGCACAGAAATTTAGCATTTTTATCACCATGTCTGATTTGTTTGTGAGATTGTAGATTACTATAACATGGTCCTCTATACTCACACTGATCACAGGGATACGTTACACCTTCATGTTTATTCAGTTTGTGATCCTTCAAATATTTGGCGGATGACGTGGAGAAATAGCATTGATCGCACAGATACCGAATACCCTGATGTGTAGACTCAATGTGTCGTTTCAAGGTTCCTTTAGACCCTGCGGTATAATCACACTGATCACAAGGAACTCGCTTTCCTTCGTGGACCATTCCTTTGTGAGATTTTAGAGCACTTTCATAGGGAGCAACATAACTGCATTGATCACACAGGAATCCTGAATGTTTAATTCTCCTGTGATCTCTCAAAGCTATTCTTGTTGGAGCGACTAATTCACAAGAATCACAGGGAGACGATTCAATCGGATGATTTCTATCCATGTGCCAATCTAGGTTTCTCGCGGTGTTGGTCGAAAACACACATTCGACACAGTGAAATTGTATTCCGCTGTGTTTATTCTTTTGATGTTTTTTCAAACCCTTCAAATCAGAGGCTTTATAGTCACATTTATCACAAGGATATTCAATTCCACCATGTTTAGTTTTCATGTGATGTATTAATCCACTCTGTGTCCCAACGAGATGATCACAAATATCACATTTAAAATCGCCAACTTTTTTGTGTTTTTGGGATTTGTGATTCTTCAGATTTGTTTCACTTTTAGCAAAATATCCGCACTCTTCACATTTATGATTTCTTTCTACGTGACGAGTATCCTTGTGTCTCTTTAAATTGTATAATCCGGTTGCTGAATACTCGCATTCATCACAAGGATAATAAAAGGGGACAGGGGTTTCTTCTTTCATAAGTTTCTCGACACCTGAAATTAAATATGAAATGTATAATGTACATTCACAGTATTCAGTATTCATGTAGAATGTATATAAAGCAGGGGTCCATATAATTCCATCCAAATGCAGTACACAATGTAGTACATGCACACAAAAACCTTGCCAAAGTAAACAATGACAAAGAAAGTGTATTTGCAGCCCCTAAATGTACTTTCAACCCCAATCCTTTTCGGGATCAAAAAAAGAATTACATGAATCCCTGTAAAGTAGTAATATCCGTTTGTTTGTATGTCCGATCTTAACTCAGGAATCCCGTCACCGTTTTTTCTTTAATTAAATTGGGAAACTCGGTAGAACTACAAGAATATTCTTAATTTATTTCAAATCTAGGAAATAATTTTTATGCTCTAGGGAAAAACAAATTGAACATCATTCATAAAGTTTTTTCGTCCTTTTTCACACGTTTACACACGTATTCTTTCATTTGCTCCAATACATCGAATAAACCCCTAAATAAGGAGGGTGAAATGATTTTTCAAAATAAAAACCCCGTACTTTGGTTCTTTTAGTTTTAATTCAGTTGGTTGACTGTTAAAGGTAAAGATTAAATTTCCATGCAAAGCCGGGTTCCCAATCAAGTTACTATTAATATTATTAAATAATGGTCGTTAAAGATCTCCAATGTGGAATCCCAAGACCGCCATTGTGATACAATATAAAACTTCTGAATACTGGCAAAAAACTTAAAATAGTTAAAACTACGTTCATGATAAAAAAATACCATGCAAAGGGCTGTCTTTGTTAATAAAAGCAAAAAACTTTTGAGTTTTTAAAGAAGTATCCCCCCCCCCCATATATTTTATATCTGTTAATTGTGTCGTTTTTTCCAAGAGCAGGTGAACAAAATCTAGCAATTAAAAATATATGAAAAAAAGAAAATTTGAGTTTAAGGCGAGTAATCAGTTTCTTCACAAACCTTCCATCATTTTCTCGAACTGTATCCGCGCAATTTCTTCATCCGTCTCTCCATAATCATCCTCATCCTCCTCATCCTCCATCTCATCCTGCTCTTCCTTGACGTACACCTCAGGCTTCACCTCCAGCCCAACCTCCATTTTAACCTCAGGATGCATCGAAGCATCCTCCATTCTCTGAATATTAAAAAAATATGTTAAAATCAACCTTAGTATGAAAAAAATGATTAAAAGAACAGATTTATATACATTTAAAACACTGACAAAATGGAATCGTAGAATTTCCGTTTTTCCCTTAGAACTTTATACCATAAAAACTTTCAGAAAAGAACTTGTTGCGTGATATTCAAAACCCAATTTGCGAGAGATATAAAAACGCTGAGTTTTCCTTTGTTCACTTTTTGTTCACCAAAAATAATTGACAAATTTTTTACAAGATGGCGGATAAAAATAATTTACAAGATGACGGATAAAAATAATTTACAAGATGGAGGATAAAAATAACTTACAAGATAGCGGATAAAAATAAATAAGATAGCGGATAAAAATAATTTACAAGATAGCGGATAAAAATAATTTACAAGATAGCGGATAAAAATAATTCACAAGGTAGCTGATAAAAATAGTTAATAATGTAGCGGATAAAAATAATTTACAAGGTAGCGGATAAAAATAATTAATAATGTAGCGGATAAAAATAATTAATAATGTAGCAGATAAAAATAATTTACAAGGTAACGAATGAAAATAATTTACAAAAACAATTAACTACAACTTACAAGTGAGTTAACTTTAAGGGCTCAATAAAATAAGAATTCAAATATTCAAAAATAATTATTAATAATGTTCATCCGCATCAGGATCCATTTGTTCCAGAGCGGATTCAGGATCCGGATCCGCCCTGGATCTTAATAACTGCCATAAGATTTAATAGTTTTGCAGTTAAAATTTATTTATGTTTGTTCAATTTGTGAGTTTTTAAATTTCCCTTCTGTGTTGCCTCATAGTTACACTGGTCGCAGGGATATCTAATTCCGACGTGTGTGGCTTCATTGTGTCTTTTCAAAAAATCCTTTCTAATTGTCGAATAATCACAAATATCACAAGTATATGTTATATCTGCATGTTTCCTAAGCTTGTGTCTTCCCAAACCGTATTTGCTAGTTGTACAATATTCGCACTGATCACAAAAATGTTTCGCATTTTTATCACTATGACGAACTGCTTTGTGTGCTCTTAGATTGCTCGAACGAGGCCCGATATATTCACACTGATTACAGGGATATCTTGCACCTTCATGTGTAGTTAGTTTATGGTCCCTCAAATACTTTGATGACGTTGTAGAAAAGTAGCACTGATCACACAGATATCGTATACCACCATGCATGGTCTCAATGTGTAGCTTTAATGTATCTTTAGAGCAAGCTTTATGATCACAAATATTACAGGGAAATTTTTTTTCTTCGTGAGCTTTCTCCTTGTGTCGTATCAAAGAACTTTCACACGCCGCTGTATAACTGCATTTATCACAAAGCAGCCCAGAATGTTTAATTCTCCTGTGATCTCTCAAAGCTATTCTTGTTGGAGCGACATATTCACAAGAATTACAGGGAGACGATTCAATCGGATGTTTCTTATCCATGTGCCAATCTAGGTTTCTCGGAGTGTTTGCGAAAAACACACAGTCCTTACAGCTAAACTGTTCCCCGCTGTGTTTTCTCTTTTGATGTTGCTTAATCGCCTTAGAATCAGGGGCTATATAGTCACATTTATCACAGGGATATTCAATTCCACCATGTTTGGTCTTAATGTGATTTATTAAACCACTCTGTGACCCGACAAGATGATCACAAATATCACATTTTAACTCTGCAACTTTTTTGTGTTTATGGGATTTGTGTCTCTTCAGATTTGTCTCACTGTTAGCAAAATATCCGCACTCTTCACATTTATGTTTTCTTTCACTGTGACGAGTGTCTTTGTGTCTCTTCAGATTTGTTTCACTTATGGCAAAATATTCGCACTCTTCACATTTATGTTTTCTTTCTACGTGACGAGTGTCTTTGTGTCTTTTTAGATTGTATAATCCGGTTGCTGAAAATGTGCATTCATCACAGGGATAACAGATGGGGACAGTGGTTTCTCCTTTCATAAATTTCTCCAAATCTAAAATAAAAAGTATAACTAAAAAAAATTTCGGGATTCTTCATTATAGAACATTTAATAGGGTGACCCAAATCACCATTAAAAAAAATCTAGCACACAGGCCCAAGTTGTTCCATAAACATATAAGTTTTCCTTAAACAAATTTCATATGTCTAGGAAGCCATTAACAGCTACACGTAAAAGTCGAAATATTGTTGAAAAATATTCCTTGTTACATTGCAAAAGTGTAATTACAAATAAAAACTGTTTTCAAATTAGACCTCTTAGCGTTGAACTGCTACCTGAGCAATGAGCTAATTGATTTCTTAGATATGAACAGATATGAACTTTTTACCTGATTGACCCCTATCTATGAACTATCTATCTGATTGACCCCCCAAGCTAAAAACTGCTTCCTGATTGACCTCCTAGCTATGAATTGCTTCCTGATTGACCCCCTAGATATGAACTGATTTCTTATTTACCTCCTAGCTATGAACTATATACCAGATTGAACCACTACCTATTAACTATCTACCTGATTGACCCCCTAGCTATGAAATAATATCTTATTGTCTTCCCAGTTATGGACTGCTACCTAATTAACTCCCTAGCTATGAACTGCTACCTGATTACCCTCTAGATATGAATTGATTCCTGATTGACCCCTTAGCTATAAACTGCTAACTGATTAACCTCCTAACCTTCGACCTGATTCACCACTTAACTTTCAGACTACCTGATTTACCCCCTAGCTATGAACTGTCTACCTGATTGACCTCCTAGCTATCAACTATCTACCTGATTGACCTCCTTGCTATCAACTATCTACCTGATTGACCTCCTTGCTATCAACTATCTACCTGATTGACCTCCTTGCTATAAACTATCTACCTGATTGACCTCCTTCCTATCAACTATCTACCTGATTGACCTCCTTGTTATCAATTATCTAAATGATTGGCCACTTAATAATGAACTGCTTTGTCGATACATCTCATTATCAGGACCAACCCCTGTATGTGCTATTGGTGGTTTGCGAGCATATAAAACTGATATAAAAAATATGCCGCAATTAGAACTGAAATTGCCAAAGCCTAAAAGTATCTAAAACCAGTACTTATTGCCCGATGTGACATTTTTTTTTTTTTTTTTTTTGGGGGGGGGGGGGGTTCTTTACATATCCCCTTTAACCATTTCAGACTGTGTGCATTTTCAAATTCAGAAAAAGGTAAAATTTACACAATTTTGGGTCACCCTATGTGAACACCTCTCATTGCTATTTCAAAAATGTAATTAATATATTCTCTTGTTAATTTAGAACTATTAGAACTATTAGAAAATAAATCTGAAAAAGAGGTCCCGTTATGAACCCCCCAGACCGCTGGCAGGCATGGGAAGCACCGTCCCACACCTACTCTAACTGGACCTTTATACCCACAACAACTACTTGCATGGTAAAAAGAGGTAAAAAAAATGATGTTGAAAAATACGACGAAATTCTTACACAAAGTGATTTTTCAACATTTAAAGTAAAAACTAAATCCAGATAGTTTAAAAAAAATAACATAAAATAAAAAAATCAAACTATTTTTTTTTTAGAACAAAGGAACTGATTACGCGCCTCAACCCTGCTCTAAGTTTATATTCCTATATCTATGCAATCGAATGATATAAAACTTTCATACTTTCCCGTTATGATCAATCATAATTCAAAATTTGTCATATCAAAGGTGTACATTATACGACATATTGTTTCTAAGATAAAAGAGTTAACAATACGAGTTTCAGAGGAAAGTAATCAGTTCCTTGACAAACCTTCCATCATTTTCTCGAACTGTATCCTCGCAATTTCTTCATCCGTCTCTCCATACTCATCCTCATACTCATCTTCATACTCATACTCATCCTCATCCTCATCCTGCTCTTCCTTGACGTACACCTCGGGCTTCACCTCCAGGGCATCCTCAAGACCAACCTCCATTTTAACCTCAGAATGTATCGAAGAATTCTCCATTTTCTGAAAATTTGAAAATCAAACAAACAAAGTATTTCGAAATCTGTGGAAAACCCCTTTTGAAGGAGACAATTTCAAAAAACAGAATATAACGATATCTGTAACAGATTTAAACATTTAATTAATACAATAGCGAAATATAATCGTAAAATTTTCGTCTTTTAAATAAAAGCCTAATAAACAGTTTAGCGTGGGCAAATGAGACAAAACAAAAAATGATAATTTTTATCTAAGAAATTTACAACAGAACAAGCTAAATTTACCATTTCTCACTTTTTTCACCAAAAACAATTCAAAAGTAGTTCTTGATAATTTCGTCGATAGTAAAGTATGGTTTATTTGTCTTGTAAAATAAGTTTCTATTTTGAAAATATTCAAGTCAAAAGCATGAAAAGTCAATAAAAATAAAAACAGAGTGTTGTCTATAAAACTTTAAAAGCTGTCAAACATATTTTCTAAAAGTTAAATGATTGTGTTAGTTAAAATTTACTTATGCTTGTTCAATTTGTGAGTTTTTAAATTTCCCTTCTGCGTTGCCTCATAGTTACACTGGTCGCAGGGATATCTAATTCCGACATGTTTGGCCTCGTTGTGTCTTTTCAAAAAATCCTTTCTAATCGTGGAATAATCACAAATATCACAAGTATATGTTATATCTGCATGTTTTCTCAGCTTGTGTTTTCCCAAACCAATTTTGCTGGTTGTACAATATTCGCACTGATCACACAAATATTTCGCATTTTTATCACTATGTCGAACTGCTTTGTGTGCTCTTAGATTGCTAGGACGAGGCCCGATATATTCACACTGATCACAAGGATATCTTACACCTTCATGTACGCTTAGTTTATGGTCCCTCAAATACTTTGAGGAAGTTGTCGAAAAGTAGCACTGATCACACAGATATCGTATACCGTCATGCATAGTCTCGATGTGTTTCTTTAGTGTACCTTTAGAGCAAGCTGTATAATCACAAATACTACAGGGAAATCGTTTCCCTTCATGAACATTCTCCTTGTGTCGTATCAAAGAACTTTCACACGCCGCTGTATAGCTGCATTTATCACAAAGCAGCCCAGAATGTTTGGCTTTACTGTGATCTCTCAAAGCTATCCTTGATTCCGCAATAAATTCACAAGAATCACAAGGAATTGTTTCAAAAGGATGATAAAGATCTTTGTGCCTATCCAGACCCCGTTCAGTATTAGTTGTTGAAGAACATTCATTGCAAGTGAATTGTACTCCGCTGTGTTTATTCTTCTGATGCTTTTTTAAACCTTTTAAACTGGTTGTTGTATACTCACACCTATCACAGGGATAGTCTATTCCACCGTGCTTAGATCTCATGTGGTTTATTAAACCACTCTGCGTACCAACTAGATGAGCACAAACTTCACATTTAAACTCTGCAACCTTTTTATGTTTACAAGATATATGTTTCTTCAGGGATATTTCACTTTTAGCAAGATATCCGCACTCTTCACATTTATGATTTCTTTCCACGTGACGAGTATCCTTGTGTCTCTTTAAATTGTATAATCCGGTTGCAAAATACTCGCATTCATTACATGAATAGTTCACGATTTTATTTGGAGTTTCTTCCTTGATCAGTTTCTCTACTCCTAAAAAAACAACATTTAGAACAAAAAACTGAATATTTTTAGAGCAAAGGACATTTCATTTATTAAAAACTAGAATTTACAAAAAGTTCCTCATTCTATCTTTCACAAAATTATTCTTTTTCCTTTAACAAAATTCATAACTTTCTAAGATAAGAGGCGGGTTAAAAAAAGCTAAAAATAAACTAAGAAACAAACAGAAATTTTGGAGAATGATAATTTAGAGGTTCAACAAAATATATGAAAGTTACTACAAAAAGAAAAATAACTCCCAGACGGAATTTCTTCAGTTGATAACAATTTAATTATTGTAACTTTAGAAAGTAACGTTTTTTTAAAGAAATTGACAAAAAATAATTACCAACCTTCCATAATTTTTTCAAAATGCATTTGAGCAATTTGCTCCTCATCTTCCCCATACTCTCCCTCCTCCTCCTCCTCCTCCCAGTCTTCTAGTTCCTCCTTGATAAAGATTTCAGATTTAATTTCACCCATCTCAGATTTAACGTTGGCACTGGGCACAGAAACCTCCATTTTATCATCCTCCATAGTCTGGAATATGTAACAGAAATTACTAAAATATTTTCAATATTGGTAATTTAAATGTCAGCTTTTTGGACCCCCCATCCACACATAACAATTTGGTCCATGAAATTCATTTATGACAGATTGAAAGAGTTAGTCATGTGGCCGCAGCGCCCAACCCCCTAGCCTTCCTTAGCTGTACCGTTCGGCCCCTTTAGGTTGGCCTAGCCGCACCGCTCGACACCCAAAAATTGTCTTAAATTAACCTTAAGAACTATAAGAAAAGAAATCTGAAATAATACAAATTGAAATCTTAAGTTGAAATCAAGGTCAAATTTTCAAACTTCATAGGGGGGGGGGGGGTAACAGACTCATCAACTAAAAAGAATTTTTGGTTAGTTGGTTAGTTAATTTTATACATGGATCTCGTATGCAATACATGGATAAAATTGGTTATGTTGCCGCAACGCTCGGCCACCTAGCTTGTCCTAGCCGCAGCGCTGGGCCCAGAAATTGTCTTAACCTAACCGGTACAAATGACTTAAAATAACCTGTCCTGGCTGCGGCGCTCAGGCCCCTAGCCAGTCCTAGCCGCAGCAATCGGTCCTCTTGCCTAATCTAGCATCAGAACTCGGCCCAGAAACTGGCTTAACCTAACCTAACCCCTAAAGTAATACAAAATAAATTTAAATTAGAGGTCATGTACAAATTTAATAGGAGGGGGGAGGGGTTCTAAAAATCGTATACTAGGACGAACTCAAACTGTCTAATATTAAATATATGCGTTCAATTTGCTTTCACGTTGGAGTACCAAATTGTCAAAACTGAAAAGCGTTAAAAAATTACATAGCTGTAATACTTTCTTTAATGAAGTTGACTAAAGATAAATAAAGAAAAAATCTAAGCATCACTGAACTCATCATGAACGTTTTTTTTTATTTCCCGGAAATTCTATTTTTAGATATCATTAAAAAAATGTTATCTTTATTAGGGTCTAGTCAATAAAAATAAAAACAGAGTGTTGTCTATAAAACTTTAAAAGCTGTCAAACATATTTTCTAAAAGTTAAATGATTGTGTTAGTTAAAATTTATTCCCTTCTAATAAAATTATATATTATAAATTATATAAAATATGGCCAGGATTTCTACCTTATAAGCTATCAAAATTAGACTTGGAAACATGAAAATGAAAACAAACAAAAAACTGTTAATTAACAAATTCTTTTAATGTTTTCTTGTAAACTTCCAAGCTTGTTAGACACCTGCAGTTCATTGTATTGATGCAATGCCGACCTTTATAGTTTGTAAACAAGGCCTAATAACCCTCTCTACAGTAATATTACTCCAGCCAGAGATGCAGACTTTTAACTCATTTAGCTTAAATAATGTCAATAAATCAGTGGGCAATGTCCTTTTAGATAACACATAATCATGCATCAATTGAGGCTAAATTTGAAGTCTTTTCAACCTCATTCTCTACTTGACTTTGCTTTGAGAGAGAGCAGAAAACCTCCAGAGAGTAAAATATAAGTTAACTGAGAGTATATAAACTTAAGAGAAGGATTGACCCTATCACAGTCAAAGCTGAATGAGCTTAAAAACAGTAATAAGATCTTCACATACTAGATTAGCAGACTAGGAACTGATCAAAGAAAAAAATCAATTTCTCTCTCAAGCTCATCTGAGACATCTTTACTCTCCAAGAAATCCCTACCATGATCTTGGATGATTGCTCAACTCATTATACAAATTTGACAAATTAAGCAACAATCCCTTCCCTCTGAAGATCTGTAAAGAATAAACATAACTTTTCCTACCTCTATCAACTTCTACCCGGCACTATGGATTTCTCACTCTATAACAATAGCTTTTTCAACTCTACACTTGATGAAACTGACTCACTTAGAGCTCCTTCCTCAGTCTCCAAAGCAATCATCTTTACCATCTTTGCTCTCCTTTTCTGCTTATCCAACTTAGCCACTGCAATAATTAGACTTTACAGGCAAGTCTTTTTTAAACAAGGTTTGATAGTTCATGATGCCGGATTGAAAATTTCTAAACTTATTTTAAAAAATAAATAAATATGAATCTAAAACAACTTCAATATTATAGTTGGGTATATAAAAATGCAGGAAATGTGGCTGGAAGAGTCTACTTGAGTGTGAAAAGCTCCAGCATATTATTTTAAAACTTAACTTTGTTCTGATACAAACATTTGTAACCAACAGTAAAAATTTTCAAACCAGAAAGATTTTAAATTTCAATAAAAGAATTATTGACTGCATTTTAAATCTTTTATTTTACTTTAAACATTAGTCAAAATTTTGATAACAATATCTTTTAATGTTGATATAGGATCTCTATACCAGCTTTCAAGTTAAACATCATCTTCATCCTCAACTTCTACACTGTTGAGATGTCCAACATTTACGTTTCAATGATTGTAAGCTTAAAATATTCTTTATATGCCTAAAATACAATTTAGTAGTGTGGTTAAAAACATTGGGCCGGGCACGTTCCAACTTGTTCAAGCCGTTATGTTAATCGTTTATACTTTCAAGCCGTTATGTTAATCGTTTATAGTTTCAACTGTTCAAGCCGTTATGTTAATCGTTTATAGTTTCAACTGTTCAAGCCGTTATGTTAATCGTTTATAGTTTCAACTGTTTTTTAACAAAATCTAGGGTAGCTGTTAGTTTTGGAGGGGAAGAAGGAAACTTCATTTGTTGACGGTTTTTTTCGTTTTTTTAAAAAGTTACCTTTATTTATCAAGCTAAATTTTATTAATAGTGTTAACGTAAAATTTTCAACAATTATTACAGAATTATAACGGCATTAGTGGTGTGAAGCCCTGAAAATATTTTTTAACAGTTAATGAAATCGTTAATGGTTAATGAAATCATTAACGGCACAAAGAAGTAATAATAATGCCATAATTTTGATCTAATAATGCTTGCTTAGACTGTATGTGCAATGTGGACCTTGATTATCTCAAAGCTCTCTCTCATCATGGCTCACATTCTTGTTGCTGTTATGACCTATGTTGGCCTGGTTGCAGTTGGACTTACCATGATTCTAGCAGTTCTCAGGATTCTGATGGTTCTTCAGGTTTGAACTTAGTTCATTTTAAACAAGGAGTTTGTAGCTTTTATTTCAGATCTTGTCTAGGTCTCAGGCCACATCATCATTAAATTCTAACGTGTGTTCTATCATATAAATATCATAAATATCCTGCCTTAAATATTCATTTCTGGAAGTAATGGAAAAGCCAATAATAAAAAATTGGTTGATATGAAAACCGATCATCGATGCATAAGAATTTATGTATCTTCTTTTTCCATTTAAAAATGCCTGAAATTATGTCCTTCTGGTTTATAAATCATCTGTTTAGGTCCACTTTCACTTAGATAGTATGTAATGTATACTTTAACATAATTTAGTTTGACCGCATGATTGAGTTGGAGCCCGAACATACTGCTAGATGTATCCTGGCTAGCACTCTTCTCTTGTACTCTCCAGCAGCTATCCTCCTACCATATCAACAAGTTACTTCAGGTAATAATGATCAGATTAAAGTAGTCGAACTAGATATAGCTATTTGAACTACTTCTATACATTAAGATGAAAGTTCAACCATCTATCCTTTTTATTATCAAAAATTTATTTCCTTTCATATGTCACACATCATTTTAAAACATTAGCTGAACGAGCTGAACTAAGAAACAAATTCATTTTTAATTCAATTTTGTAAATTGCAAAAAGTGTGCAACACCTGATAATAATTCCATAACTTTTTTCACGCACCTCATAGAAAGGTTTTACTCTTATCAAATTAATTCCATTTCATTTATGATTTGATATTAAACTGAGAATTACAATAAGATTACAAAAGGAATTGAGATTTTTCCACAAACTCAATTTTGTTAATGTCTATATCTTTGGACCTGAATGTTGTAAATTGTGTATTCTGTTAGATTATATAATCTATGCTTGAAATATTAAAGGTTAATATCATCAAATTAAAGATATAGGGATTAAAAGATTTTCTGTTTTACATTATTTGTGTATTTTTACATTATAGATTTCATAGCATCTGGTACTGGATACTTCACAGGGCTAGAACCATCATCAGGTCAAAGCAATATCCAAATATGTAATGCTGTGAATATCTCAATGGCTGTCGTAGTGATAGTGTTTGCATTCACCTTCAATACTCTCTACCTTAAGTACAAGCATGCTGTCATAATCAACAGTGAGGTTGGCCAAGCACAGAAAAATTTAATAGACATAAAGACTGCCCTAACAGCAGTGACTATTCTACTTCTTCTGGTTAGTTCTGCGATTGTTGTTCAGAACTTTGTAGATAGTGAGGAGACCCCGCTCATACAACTTTTGCTGCCTTGCTGCACCGTAACAATGATCAACATGTACTTCTGCAAAAATCAGAATGTAGTAGCACACTTCACTCATTGGCTGAAGGGTAAAAGAGACACTTTAGAGTTCTCCTTGTTGAACTCAATCCTGAATATAATGTTGACTAGATGGAGAAGAAGTAACCATGTGTCTCCTAACACGGTTAATATTGAGATGAATGATATACGGCCATCAACTGGAAATGATCAACCTGATGGAAGAGAGACTTCTGCAGAAGCTGATCATGTCCCATCCGATTAGGTTGCTGGGCTCAGGGATCAGAATTTCATAGTTTAAAGCTGTAATATTTAAATTATAATAAACAAGTCTTAATATAAAGGGTGTCCCAATAAACATGGGAATTCAGTGACAAATTTGATATCTTCTTTTTAAATAATTCTTTGATAAAGTATAGAGATACTTACTGAGAAAGCTGTAATCTGTAAGAATTTTGCCTGCTATGTTTACAATTTGTTTGCCAATGTTTTGACTGCATACAGTGTACTTAGTAAAACAAGAAATTTACAGTATATAATCAGAGTAAACTTGTCCGTCTTCACTGTTCATCTTGCAGAGCCATTATAGACACATCTTTACAGCCATTTACCGTTTTCATTAAATAAGCTCTAGCAGACATAATAAAATTATAGCTTTTGAAAATAGGTTTTACAATGTTAGTTCATAACAAAGACGATATCGAATTTGTCACTGAATTCCATTGTTTATTGGGACACCTTGTAACATTTTAATAAGCCTTCAGAAGATTTTCTGAAGAAACAATAATTTTTCTTGAAAATTTTGAAAAAGAAGACCAAAATAAGTTAAATTTGTTTATAATAAGTTTAAATTGTAAATAATGCCCTATTACCTTTAATGTTTCAAATAACTATCGATAATAGCCTCTTCACTTACAGGGAGGTTCAAATTTCAACCCTTGAACTTTAAGGATTCAACTTTGATGTGCCATATTTTTCTTTAGTTTCTTTTAGCTAGCCTCATTTTGAAATCATCCTTTTTGATATACCAACTAGGGTTTCCAGCCAATAAAAACAAAATGCAAAAATTAGTTTTTCGCAAAATTTTGCTAAATAAAATTCTGCTTGACCATAGCTGCAACAAGAATTGAGCAAAAAACTTGTAGAATTCTCTGCTCTGAGAGCTTAGCATCAGAAGTTTTATTTTATCATCACATTTTTGCATCTCATATTTTGCGATTCAGATTAATGCGAAATGTCGCAAAACAAGCGAAAGTTTTCGCATTTTTCTCAAGCGAAAAGAAATGCGAAAAATGGGAAAATTTCGCGAAACAATATACTCTTTGCGATGCAACCCCTAATACTAACCAAACATAATATTTTAAAGAAGGGTTCAGCACTGTTATTTAAAATAACTTGGTTCATTTTAAGTACCAGGCCAACAAAATAACAATTTGTACATAAAGACTTCAGATTTTAAAACGGGACTGTTCACCAAATGAATCATCCCGTGCGGCAATTGTTTTGGGAGTTTTAAACATAGAGAAATGAAAGAAAAATGGCCTATAGCAAAAATGGTCTAAAGTAAAACTGAAGATTAGCAAAAGTGACATTAGCTAAACTGTTCTTTATCAAATCAAATCAAGATTTCATCATTCTTTATTCAATTAATTTTTATTACCACTGAATTGTTATGCTACAAACATATATTTTTTTCCAAAAAATCATTTATGTTTAAACAACTTCATTTTAAAAACATATTGTTCCTTGAATTACATATGTGTTTCAAATGTCTGAATACTATGTGTTTGTTGGGTGTGTTTCGTTATTGGTAATGAATGTTGAAACAGTTTTTTGAATTTTAAAATGTAAATTTTTTTAAAATAAACGTTAGTAAAATTCTACTTTTATTATCAAATTAGATCCAAAATTTTTATGAAAATATATTATATTAGTTATTATTGAAAAAACTTCCAAACAATTTTTTCCGTTTTTATGATTTCTTTTAATATTTTGGATTAAAACGATAATGATTTCTTTACTTTTCTTTTCTTCGTCTGATCAAGTATGAAATTATTCTAACTTTTTTTTAAAACTGTTAAGTTTCATTTGTGGTTTGAGGTTTCCCTGCAAAAGCGATCCTTGCGCATTTCGAGACTGATAAGAAACAATGGAGAAATCATTACAATTAAATACTTTTTAAGTCAGAAAATCGACGTTATATTTCACATTTCTGATCGGATAAGGATTGTAAGTGTACGTTTGTGAATCAGGCATCACGTTATCTTGACAAAGGATTTTGTTCAGTTCTTAACAATTGCATTCTATTTAATTTGGAAAAAGAATTCAGTCTTTGGATCAAAATCAAATATTGAAACCTCAATATCTTTAGAACCTGATGTTGTAAACCTTTGATTATTTGATCTATCAGAATTTATAGTTTGAAATATCCATGGTCTGCAACATTTGGTTCCAATGATATAGTGATTAGAAAATTAGAAGTTGTGGCAAAGACTCAATTCCTTTCTGAAACAGTTTTTTCGTATTTATTCTTTGTCATCTTTAATTAAGGAAAAAAGTTCAAGTTTTTGATCCTCCAGCATGAATTGCTTGCTCATAAACATTCTTTTTTTTTAAAAAGAAGAATAAAATAAAATCAAGGTTCCAAGAAATTTGAAGAAAATGACGGGGCATTTTAAAGAATTTTTTTTCATGTTTAAGTATTAAAAATATAATTTTCATGAATCCATATATTTGTTCAGAGCTGGGAACTTTTGAATGGTGGATATCGGGATTAAGGCTTGATCCACTCTTTTTCTTAATCTTGAGATTAAATAATGCTTGTTCTCCTCTTGTTATTAATCTCCTTAGTAAACCTATCGGGATTTCAGCTCAGAATGCATAAATTTTAAATGTCAAAGCTATACAACATTTTGGCGCAAAGTTAAAGGGATTAGGAAGTTAAAACCTGTAAAAAAATACAATAAAGTACATAGTAAGGATAATAGAAAAACAATTGAATATGAAGAAGTTCGTTTAAACTGCATTGATACAATTCAAATGACAATGAAGGAATTTTCTTATTATTTTATTCCTGATAACGAGGCGTTTTCTTTAAAGCAATTCAAAATAGGAAAGAATTTTAAATCAAAAATAATAATCTTGTTTACTTGGCCGAAAAAAAAAACCATTAAAAGTAGGGATTTAAGGACCAGGGGCGTAGTGGGGGGCGGTACCCCTGTGCCCACCCTATATATGCACGCCCTAGGCCTCCCCCTAGAGCCAGAGGCAGGCTCTAATTTATTAAACTTACATATATATTTTCAGATGACATATATTTCTTTGTTTTTGTGTCACAATATAATATGCATACAAAGAGAAAATGTGAACAACTGAAAGATGGGCACGAAGCGCCCTGGAAGCTGGTTAAACGGCTGGACCAAATTGGCTGAACATTTTTTAGGAAATCCATGGGTACCCTGGGGGGTAACAACGACTAAAATATTCGAATCCATGGGTACCCTGGGGGGTAACAACGACTAAAATATTCGAATGTTTGTTTTTCAATTTTTTTTCGAAGTTTTATTTTCAAATGTTTCTAAAATTCAACGGGCAACGCCGGGCACTTCAGCTAGCTAGCTAATATTATACTTGACATTAGAGAAAGTAAATTGACTGGAACAGCTAATCTTTAAAAACGTTTAAAATCTATTATTACCATGTTTAAAAGAATCTGAATTAAAGGTTACCTACTAAGAATAAGACTTTAAGACCTAAACTTTTTAAATTATTACAGTTTGAAGGTTGAATTGGCGAAGAAAGGAACAAGATTATACTCGTTACAGTGATAAAATGTTATGAATGATGTATCATAAGTCTCATCCTTTATGGGTTACCCTGTATTTAATTTTAAAAAATAATTTTGAAATTTGATCAGTCGGCAATAATTTGGTTAAATTACTCACTTATCTCAATTATAGTTCATTATTTTATATAGATGTATTTTTCTAATATAAACTGTAATTTAAAAATTATGTTTTCTCAATTATATTCTTGATAAAAGCCTAATTAATATAGTTTAAAGTTTATTATTGGATCAATGGATTTAAGGTACTGTGAGCGTAATACATAATCCATCATCTTCTCTGAAAAAGTGACTTGTGCTGCGCATTTCCTCTTCAGGAACCATTTTCGAGAAAATTAGCAGAATTGAAAACTTTTCAAGCTATAGGAAAAAATGATGATATCATCAACATTGACGATCAGATATATCAGATATACAGGTTAAGAGAATACCGTTGTCAAAAAGGCAAGAGTCGCTCTAGCTTTAGGTAACTTGAAATTTTACAATAGCAATGAGAGGCGTACAACTTTACAGGGGGTGGGGATATGGGTTTCACCCCCCCCCCCTCATGGATCTGATAAAATCTAAAAGTTTCTAAATGTTTGCTGAGCAAAAATGTTAGGACCCATCTGGAAAAATTACTGTAAACGCCCCTCAGTCCCCAACATATAAATAAGATGATGCTTCTAACTTGAATTGTAAAGCTGGCATTTTCGAACTTTTGTCTCAGTTTGAATTATACAGTTCTAGATAATTTAACGGAATAGCAAGGCCAGGGGCGGATACAGGGGGGGCGGGGGACATTCACCCCCCCCTGAATTTGGAATTTTTTGTTCCCGTTTTCAGAATAGCTTCTCATTAATAGCATGCATGCTTAAGGGAAAGAAACCCTAGTGCAAAATAGGAAGATTTATAAAAGTAACATCTTTTTCCTCTTAGCGTAAACTATTTTTTATGTTACTTAAAATAAATTAAACTTTTTTACAGTTCTTTGTAAGCCTTTATTGATGGAGTTTGTAAATGCCAGAAATGAGTGGAAAATGCAAATCAAACCCAACTAAAACCAATAATTTGATACAGGGTGTCCCACGAAACATGACAATAGCAAGATGACTTGAAAGTCGTCTTTGATATTTGAATTTATTTGTGACATTTAGTCTTCTATCTACTTTAACATGTATGATTCTTGAAACAATTATCACATAATTCTCCTAGCCCTGGCATTTCCAAAAAGTGGTCTGCGTTTTTTTGTGCTTTTAATATTACCGGAGATATAAAGAGTTTGGTTCAGATTTCAATTTTGTTAAATAAAAGCAAAATTGTCGAAATCCGAACGAAATTCTTCATATCTCGGGCAATATTGAAAGCACAAAAAAGGCAGACCACATTTTGGAAATGGCAGGACTAGGGCAATTTTGTGATTATTATTATCTCTAGAAATTTACTTCTAAAATTAGGTTGACAAATAAATGCAGCAAATTATATCAAAAATCAAGACAACATTCAAGTCGTCTTGCATACTGTCATGTTTCGTGGGACACCCTGTATATACATCATGATATTTTTCTAGTGCCGGGGTAAAGAAAAATTCACTGCTCCCCTCCCCCATCGTGTTAAGGTTAACGATTCAAGATATACCAAATTCGTTAACTTTCTTTACCATTGTTGGGTTTTCTTTAGTTCAGTTCTGTATTTTCTTTGACTTTGGCGAGGGGAGGAAGGCCAACCACATCAATCTCTAGTCCGAACCACATTCTCCTCATTTTCTCGTCCGAACCACCTCGAAATCCTCGTCCTTTCAATAGTATTTTTTAAAATGTCTAATCCTTCCAGCTAAAACGTTATTTTTAAAGAATCAGGCCACGTTACAGGGCATAAATGAAATATCAAATTTTTGTAAATCGAAAAATAAGTTTCAATGGGGAAAATTATAGGCAGAGGTATGCCGAATATTTTTGCTATTTTTTTCATATCACGAAGGTTAGCCGGCCACGGAGGCAGAAGAGATTTAAGTTTTACCTAAATAAAGTTTGACATCATTCTCATGGGTTTGAAGATTCCAACATGATATAATCATTGCAATACTTTATTCTATCCATATGTTATGCCCTAACGTGGCCAGATTTTTAAAAAAATAGTTTTATCTTCAAGAATTGGAAACTTTTCAACACAAAATAATCGAAGGACGAGGATTCCGAGGTGCTTCGGACGAGAAAATGAGGAGAATGTGGTTCGGACTAGAGATTGATGTGGTTGGCCTTCCTCCCCTCCTTTGGCATTATCAAAATAATATATATTATCTTTGGGCATTATTCGAAAAGTGCTTTTTAATACAAGTTTGTTTAAAATGTCGTCTTTGTAAATATTTTCAGGGAAATGTTCTGACCAATAGGATTTAAGAATATAATTTAGTCCAATAAGACGGAGGAAGGTCGAGGGAGGGAGGAAATAGTGACGTGCAAATTCTGCTTCCGAACCACATTATTATACATTTTTGTAAGCGAGCCACCGCTGAGTTCTCCATTGTTATTTTATGGTTATTTTTTTGTCTTAACGAAGTTTACAACCATGATTATTGCAAGGGAATGTGGCTCGGATCCCAAAGTTAAGTGGCTCGTCTTCCTGCCCTCGCTTAACACTGGTAGTGGTCCATTCGTATTTCTTGATTTTTATCAATGTAAACACACTTTAAAGAATAAACAATAAACAAGAAAAGTTAGCAAAAGCCGGTTTTATTTCTAATATAATTATTAAGCACTTAACAGGCATTGCCATTTATTCATCAACAATTATAAGACCTTTATTTCCCAAATGTTTTGGTCGAATTTGTATAAGGTTATCGTTGAAGCAAACCAGGTATGTTTTGGGTCCGTCCTATTATACGATTTTGGCCCCTCCTCCTCCTTTCAATTTTTTACCTGACCTAGATCTCAACCATTTTCAACAAAAAATATTTATTTGTATTTTTTTATGGTTAGGTTAGGTGCATATATTTGGACCGATCCGCTGCGGCCAGGACAGACCTTTAAATTTCAACAATTTTAAACAAAATTAATATATATATTTAGGATTAGGTTAAGTTAAGTGCTGCGGCTAGGATAGGATAGGGGGTCGAGCAAGCTGTGGTTAGGACAGCTGCTAGGGGGTCGAGCGCCGCGGCTAGGATAGTCTAGGGGGCCGGGCGCTGAAGCCAAAAATCGATCATAACGAAATAACTTTTTTTTCAGTAAAAATGACGGAAGAATTTTTGTTAGATATCTGTCTTGAACACGAGGAGGATAGTTATGATAAACCCGTGAGAGATACATGTTCAGGTTTTAAGAGAAATTTTAAAGTCCCCCCTAACTGAAAGCCCTTAATAAAGACATGAAACACAATGCAATAACTCCCCACCCATTATCAATTAATAGCCTCCCCCCCTCTTTATTTAGTATCCTCCCCCCTCTTCATTTAATATCCTCCCCCCTCCTCATTTAATATCCCCCCCCCTCTTCCTTTAATATCCACCCCCCCTCTTCTTTTACTATCCACCCCTTCTTCATTTAATATCAAGTATCCACGCCTTCTTCATTTAATAGCCTTCCCCCTCTTAATTTAATAGTAACCGACCCCCCCCCTCTTCATTTAATAGCCTCCTATTTTTTAAAATTACCATTTTTTTACGATTTAAATTTTAGTTTGCTTTAGATTGTGAGAGGCCAAGCCGAGTGTGTTTATGTGAATATATTTCAAAACCAAGAATTAAACTTAGGTTAGGAAATGATTAAATTTAAACTTGTTTTTTTAGATGAACAAATTTTGTGGAATAATTGATATTTAACATTTTGTATTTTAATGTTTAAACCGCTAAAAGTAAATTAATTTTTAAGTTTTAACTTTCAGTTCTTATTAAAAAATGTAAAGTACATTTCATCCTATATAGCTCTGTAAAAACCAAATTACTAAATTACCCACAATTTACTTTGATGACCTAAATTTGAAATAGTTTAGGCATAATTTTACAAAAAGGTTTTCAGCTAAAATGTAAGATATAAAAAATAAAATTCCGCGTATTAAAGCACCCCAACCCCCCCGACCCTAAGCCTTAATATATTAAACCTTTTGCGTGCTTACGCGCGCCAACAGTTCACACCCATCGGCTTAACCTCCAATACGCCGCGCGCCCCTGTAAAGGATATTTTCATAAATTCATTTAATTCTAGAACTAGTATTATCATACTACAACATCCAGATGAGGAAAAAAGAGCAATTAGAACTGGAAAACTATTGGAATTAGGGTTGGAATCAGATAATTTTAAGGTAAACCCAGGAAGGTCGAGGGAGGGAG